GGATTTCCTTGCCGGCTCAGGGCCCGAAAAACTTCCCGGAGTCTTTGAGGAGTCTACGACGTGAAGAGGTGATCGCCGGACGGGATGAGGGACGCCGAGTTGACTCCACAGTGGCCTGGGTAGCAGCACAAATGCGGTCGGCTGCCGGCGCAGAAGTTGCAGAGGCGGCAGGGTGCAGATCTGGACGGGTCGGTGCCGCGGGAGCATCAGCTGGACGGGCCGGATCATCTGGACGGGCCAGCGCCGCGGGAGCACCAGCTGGACGGGCCGGATCATCTGGACGGGCCGGATCATCTGGACGGGTCAGTGCCGCGGCAGCATCAACTGGATGGACCGGATTGTCGGACAGGGCCGCGAAGCGGTTCCGAAGGCCCAGGCGAGGCGGTGAAGTTACCCCATTCAAAAAGCTCCTGCGCACCACTTCAGACCACGACTGCTGGTGGCTAGGTGTCGAGCTGTCGGAAGGCCGTGGACAGGTGGAAGGATCCCACAGAACTGTGTCATGGATAGTTGTACTGAACGAGGCAAGCTGTTTAGACTACACCGATGCTACCTCCATGAGACCGGACACGAGAGACTCTTTTTCTTTCAGCTCGTCAGAAAGCCGTCGGATATCCTCCTTAAGGTCTGTTATCTGTTTATTAGCTATTTGAAGTAGCACATCATCCTCAGGGTGGTTTGATGGCATTCTTGAGTGTGAAAGGTTTAGGGCAATTACTGTCCCATGCACCAATGCCAAACTGCGTCAAGATGTTGTATAAGCAGGGATGGCTAAATGTTTGTAAGAGGAGAGCTAGATGCTAACAGATGCCAGATGCTAACAGGTAGTGGGAGCCTGTAAAAATTGCGACTGCCTTGCTTGAGGTCAGCATTGTAAGATGACAACAGATGCATTTTTATGAATGTTCTTAACAGAGTTCAGGTGTTTAACAGTCTTATTGCCTGTGGGATGAAACTGTCTCTGAGTCTGGTGGTTTTTGTCCTGATGCTACAGAACAGTTTGTTGCTGGGGTGAAGCTCCCAGATAAAGCACCTTAGTAATGGTGCACCTAAATGAGTAATGCATTGAAATAAAATGCATCTTTTGTTGTGTACTTTCGTTTTATTTTTTAACGGCGACTGTAATGTTTTTGAGGGGCCGAAGGGGTTTTATTAATATAATATATTTTTGGATGTATATCATTTTTTTCCATTATGTATTTTTTTGTCTCTTGGAGGTGGGGCGTCCCAGTAAGAGACCGAACCCTCATCATTTAATGATTTTTTAAAATGTTTCATTATTATATAATAATTACTTTCCTATTATATATATTTTTAATTATTATTATTTTTTTTTTTATTCTGTATGTGTTGATTTAATTGTATTTATTTATTTATTTAAATTTAAATTATAATTTTTGTATTGCTTTATGATTGTTATTATATTTTGTATTTTTCTTATAATAATTATCATTCATCTATTTAGCTTTCGGAAAATAAATTCATGTTCAACATGAGCATTTAAAGGATAGTTATACAAAACATTTACATATTTTTCCAATTAATTTCATATCAGATAAACGGATTATAATCATTTAATTTCATATTTGATTTTGTTTAGGATCTAGACCAAATTCGAATCAAGTTTATTGCCAGGTATAATGTTCTTATCCGGACGTAAGAGCCGCAGACTTAACACGAAGTTAAACTCCACTCAAAATGAATAAAAAGAGACGTCGTTGTAGTTGGGAAACTTTACTGGTAACTCCTTCACCATGACATGGAGTGAAAACTGTAACAATAAATACAGAATGCAAAACGATCTTAGTCTTGTGTTGTCTATTCAAACACCCTTAGTTGCATTGTAAATGTATACAATATAAAATTACATTTTTCTTAATTTCTTAAACATCTTTCCATCAAATAAGCATTGATATAGGAACTACAACATGTTAACAATGAAATGTAATCACTTACGACATTGATTGATCAGTCTTTTCATGCAGATGCAAATGGATCCTAACAGTGCCTAAACATGTGGGGTGTTTCTCAATCTCGAGTAAAGCTGCTTCAGAGCCACTATTTCAAGCATACTACGTCATTGAGTGCCGCCGAAGTACTGTTCCAATCTCCAGTATACTTGGAAATCTACCGAGCCCGGCGTACTCCGTTTGGAGAAATATCGAGGCTGCACATGAGTAGACTTCGCGGTCTTAAAATCCCCACAATGCTTTGCGCACGGACCAATTTCCCCAAATCTGTGGCGGAAGATGTAAGAGGCGGGGCCTCTCATATGACGCACACCTGCACACTTGCTAGCGTGTTCCACACTTCGTTTTCCGAATGTCAGGAAGTATTCTTGACTCGCTTCTGAAGCAAGATGCTCGGCAGACATGTGCTACCAAGCAAGCGTACTCGAGATTGAGAAACACCCGTGGCTTCCTTGAGATTCTACCATTTTCTGACGGCATGACAGGAAGTGATGCAAGAATGACAGGAAGTGATACATTCAAATACCTTTATGAACAGTGTCAAATAAACAAACGTTACAAGTCACCTGAAAGGTGCTGCAAGCAGTATTTTAACCTTACAAATTATATTAAGTGTTTTTGAAAACACCACATGTTTACACATACAAGGAATTTGATTTGGTGTCTGGGGGTGTAAACCTAAACCAGGGGTAGCCAACACGGTGCCCGCGGGCACTTGGTCGCCTGCAGGGGCAACGTGAGTCGCCCGCGGGGCATGTTCTAAAAATAGCTCGCCAAGCAAATCCAAAATGTATAAAATACACAAAACAAAAAAGGAAATGTAATTAAAAGAATCTACCCTATGCATAAACGAAACCTAAATCATAGCGAACTCTATCTACTTACTACAACTCTATATCTATCTAACACCCCTCCTCCCCCCACCCCCACAATTAATATCTACCAATCACGTTCTTGCTTGATTTGCGGGACCAGCGTTGCAGTCGGGAAGAAAAGCAATGTGGCACCTCCCCGCTGATGTTCCTTCTGGCAGAATCTACACAACACATCAGCCCCATTGAACAGCCTATCATGCAGCCTATACAGCACATGGGGGGCAGAGCTTTACTCTGTGTGCTGCAACTTGCATATCTTTATTGCACTTGACGCACACACGCATGGCGTAATTTCCACCTGGGACAGGGGGGAAATGTCCCCCCCACTTTTCGAAATCCCGTTTGTGTCCCCCCACTTTACAAATATGTTGATTATTTTTTTTTAACGCAAGCCGTCGATCGCCACGGAGGAGCTCACAGCCTCTGTGAGCGAGCGAGACAGAGCGAGCGAGCGAGAGAGCTAGGGAGGGAGGGAGAGGGGGAGAGAGAGAGCGAGAGAGATGGGGGGAGGGAGGGAGGGAGAGAGAGAGAGAGAGCTAGGGAGAGCATACCTTTATCTATTTAATAAAGATAAAGTCAGAAATCATTCCAATGTGTATAGGACAGTAAAAAAAATCAAAAAAAAGTTTGAAAGGGGAGTGATTAGTAAAATAAGCATACATAGAAAGAAAGAATGCTAACTAGGTAACATAAGATAAGAATAAACCAGTTTAAATGATTTGTTATTGGTTGTGATCATATTCTAAAGATGTTTGGATTATTGAAAAGTATACAGCTCTCTTTCATCTGAGTGTTGAGAGCTGTTTCCATCAATTCATGTTGTGCTCAAAGTGCTCCAGATTGATGCATTTCACTTCAACATTAAAAAATAATCTTCCTGGGGGTGCATGCCCCCCGACCCCCCTAGAGGAGGTGAGGACCCCCCTGGAGGAGGTGAGGACCCCCCTGGAGGAGGTGAGGCCCGTCCACCCCCAAATAAAGCAGGTTAAAATAATTAGATTGCATACATGTTCTTTTAGTAAACACTGAAAACGGGTCCCACAGACCCAAACAGCAAACAAAGGTTAAAGGTCAGCATATGATAATGTTAAAATGTGCTAAATATATACACCGCAAAAAAAGAAAAGAAAAGTAAAAGTAGCCCCCGACTTGTTTTATTTTTTTAAAGTAGCCCTCACCCTAAAAAAGGTTGGTGACCCCTGACCTAAACAATCTTAGAAAATGAGTTGCAAAAGTAAGTACAAAATATAAAGATAATAAAGTATTTCTAAGAAACTATTAAGCAATAAAAAAGAAAATGCTAAAGACAAGTATTTACACCAAATTTAAAGATCTCCTATCGTGCTATTTTTAGGCATATATTATGGGTCTCAGATATATAAAAATATATAAAAAACATATCCATCTCTTGAAAAGAGAGAGGGTTTTATTTTCTGACACTTTGTGAGTCTGCTGACACACCGGGGACACATGTTGATGTAGAGAAGACATCAAAAAGTGCATTTAGCATGATAGGACACTTTTAAATTAAAATATACAAAGAACCTTAGGATTATTTCTGAAACAGTAAGCTCAAATGCTTATTTTCTTGCGGATTTACTACAAGGTGAGTTCCTTTTTTTATTTTCTGCTTTTTTACTCTGCAGTACAGGTTAGTTCTGAGTGTTAGCGATGCTAATGTAAACAAAGACCATATTATGTCCAAAACATGTCACTCATTGTTTCTGATATAGACACATATTTATGTATAAAAGACGTAAAAACGTGCATTTTGCATGATAGGGGACCTTTAAAGGATCTGCAGCTAACGTCTTGGTGCCAGATCCTCCTTCAGAGGTCTAGTGGAGTCCATGCCTCCACGGGTCAGGACTGTTTTGGCCGCAAAAGAGGACCTACACAATATTAGGCAGGTGGTCATAATGTTATGTCTGATCGGTGTTTATTTATGTTTCTTCTTTACATCTTTCTATGTAGGAAAAGCTTTAAGTGAAATTGATTGTTTGTTTTTTATGGAGAATATACCGTCAGTTCATCCAGTTTTCACTTCCTGTTTGACACCCGAGTCTCCTGAAAGAATAATAATAATCAAACATGAACAGAGAGAAACATTAGCAGCTAAAATGATTGAAGAGAGCTGAAACAAGATGGAACATGTTTTTCATGTTAAGATCAGATTTTAATGTAGAATAGTCTGATGAATGGAGGATATGGTTTCAATACTCACATCTCTTCTGTTTCTTGGCTCTGATCGTCTTGCCATTGATCCTGTAGGGATGAACACAACCCAACAGTTATGGATCAGGTTTAAAATAAGTGTTTATTCTTTGAGTCAGCTTCAGAGTCCTGACTGATCTCATGCTTTACATCCCATCATATCTTCTCTGCAAACACTACGACTGACTGCCACAGCTCTCAGCTAACAGGAAATAACTGCTCATTAGTCTAGAAACAAAACACATGTCAGGAGAACCAAGCAGACTCACTCCTCTGTAAAATCCTGTACATCCATTAAAAAGTAGCTTACTTACTAAAATGTGGATTTGCATTTTAAGCTCATATTATAATGTTTGTGGAAGAATGAAAAAAATAAATAAGAAATTGCAGTGAATGGGTAGCATGATGAGTTGTGCTAAGCTAGGCTACATCTGGAAGGAAGAACTGGAGGGATTACTCAGTGTGAGAACACATCAACCCCCCAACACAAAACTGCTGAACCAGCAGAGAGTCGACCCCTTACTGACCCGAGAGTCTCCAGTCTGCAGTTTCGTCTCTCTAGAAGATCTCTCAGACGCTTCACTCCTGAATCCTTCGAATTGTTGTAACTCAGGTCCAGATCTCTCTCCAGCTTCCCTTCTGAATCCTTCAGATCATTCTTCCACAGCTCCAGAACTCTCAGATGGGAGGGGTTGGATGTCAGAGCTAAGGCTAGAGCAGCACAGCTGATCTCTGACAAACTGCAGTCACTCAGTCTGAATAAAGGAAACATGATGTAAGTTTAAAGGTTTAATAATCTCTTCAGAGCTGAAGAAGGTTTAGATGTCAGAGTCAAGAAAGATATAGATCCATGATAATCTGAGCTCAAACTCTGCAGCATCTTCACCGACTCATGGAGCACAGTGCGAGTCTGTGGAAGCTGAAACACTGTCCGTCACACATTTACCTTCTCTTTGTTATTCTGATAAATACTCAACCATTTAGAAAAACAGAATAAAATGAACAGTTACAAAGTATTTGTTCTCAGGCACATTTTAAAATACAAAAATACTATATGAACTACAGTCAGTGAACTGACCTGAGAGCTTCCAGTCTGCAGTTTGGACTCTTTAGTCCAGAACTCAGCAGCTTCACTCCTGAATCCTGCAGATCGTTCTTACTCAGGTCCAGATCTCTCAGATGGGAGGGTTCAGACATCAGAGCTACGATCAGAGCAGCACAGCTGATCTCTGACAAACTGCAGCCCCACAGACTGAATAAAGAAAACATGACGCACGTTTAAACTATTCAGTCAATATCAGCATCATGGAGCTCAATCAAAATGTGGGAAAAGCTAAATACTGAATATAATCTTTATCGTTTGATAGTTTTAATAGAAACATTTGTTCATTTTGTCTTTCATAAACATGTATTAAAAACATGATGGAGACTGTAAGATGAATTTCAGTTTTTTAAAAAGGTTCCGAGTGAATTATGCAGTGAAAGATTGTTCTTGTTATATTTAAATGTAAAGATCAACATGACTCTGCCTCAGTCAGTGAACTAAACCATAGAAGAAGAAAGTAGACTTTAGCTTTAAGATACTCAGTGTGGATCAGTGTAATATCAGCCTGATGTCTGCAACTCTCACATATTAATCTCAGCACAGAAGTAAAAGATGGAGAACTGACCTGAGAGTCTCCAGGCTGCTGTCTGGACTCTCCAGAAGATCTCTCAGCAGCTTCACTCCTGAATCCTGCAGAGTGTTGTTACCCAGGTCCAGAACTCTCATATGGGAGGGGTTAGACTTCAGAGCTGAGACCAGAGCAGCACAGCTGATCTCTGACAAACTGCAGTCCTCCAGTCTGAATAAAGAATACATGATGTAAGTTTCAAGGTGTAATAATCTGTTCAGAGCTGAAGAAGGTTTAGATGTCAGAGTCAAGAAAGATGTAGATCCATGAAAATCCAAGCTCAAACTCTGGAGCAGTTTTTCTCTGTCATCAGATCTTTAACAACTCCTTCATCTCCCTCACAGCTCATCAGTACTGACAGCATCTTCACCGACTCATGGAGCACAGTGTGAGTCTGTGGAAGCTCACACACTGTCCGTCACACATTTACCTTCTCTTTCTTATTCTGATAAATACTCAACCATTTGTAAAAACAGCAAGAAAAATACTTAAAATGTCTTTGTTTCTTAAAATTATAGATACAACAAATCTCTATGAACTACAGTCAGTGAACTGACTTGAGAGTCTCCAGTCTGCAGTTTGGGTTCTTCAGAAGATCTCTCAGCAGCTCCACTCCTGAATCATGCAGATCGTTCTCACTCAGGTCCAGATCTCTCAGATGGGAGGGGTCAGACTTCAGAGCTGAGACCAGAGCAGCACAGCTGATCTTTGACAAACTGCAGTCCCTCAGTCTGAATAAAGAATACATGATGTAAGTTTAAACTATTCAGTCAGTATCAGCATCATGGAGCTTCATACAAATGTTGGAAAAGGCAAATAAGAGAAACATTTATTCATTTGTCTTTTTTATAATTGATTAAACTCATGATGGAGACTGTGAGATAAATGTCAGGTGTTTAAGATGTTCAGAGTGAATTATGCACTGAAGGATTTTTCTTGTTATATTTCAATGTAAAGATCAACATGGCTCTGCCACAGTCAGTAAACTAAACCACAGAAGAAGAAAGTAGACTTTAGCATTAAGATACTCAGTGTGGATCAGTGTAATATCAGCCTGATGTCTGCAGCTCTGAGTCAACACAACTCTCTTAATCTCAGCACAGAAGTAAAAGATGGAGAACTGACATGAGAGCCTCCAGTCTGCAGTCTGGACTCTCCAGAAGATCTCTCAGCAGCTTCACTCCTGAATCCTGCAGAGCGTTGAGACTCAGGTCCAGAACTCTCAGATGGGAGAGGTTGGACTTCAGAGCTGAGATCAGAGCAGCACAGCTGATCTCTGACAACCTGCAGTTACTCAGTCTGAATAAATAAAACATGATGTAAGTTTCAAGGTTTAATAATCTGTTCAGAGCTGAAGAAGGTTTAGATGTCAGAGTCAAGAAAGATGTAGATCCATGATAATCCAAGCTCAAACTCTGGAGCAGTTTTTCTCTGTCATCAGATCTTTAACAACTCCTTCATCTCCCTCACAGCTCATCAGTACTGACAGCATCTTCACCGACTCATGGAGCACAGTGTGAGTCTGTGGAAGCTCAAACACTGTCCGTCACACATTTACCTTCTCTTTGTTATATTGATAAATACTCCTCCACAGGAAGAAAAATAACTTAAATGCTCTTTATTCTCAGCCAAATTTAGAAAATTATAAAACCAAAAATACCCTATGAACTGCAGTCAGTGAACTGACCTGAGAACCTCCAGTCTGCAGTTTGGACTCTTTAGTCCAGAACTCAGCCGCTCCACTCCTGAATCCTTCAGATAGTTCTCACTCAGGTCCAGATCTCTCAGATGGGAGGGGTCGGACTTCAGAGCTGAGGCCACAACTTCACAGTGAGTCTCTGAGAGTCCACAGGAAGTTAGTCTGTCCGGACAGATATTACAGAGTGAGTTTTTCATAAAAAATGATTTACTTCATGCATTTGATGAAAACATTAGACACATCATGTCTTGATTAACATTCACTGTTAGTCCACTTAATGTATTGTGGATTTTTTCATAATGACTGATTTATAAAGTTAATCAGATCTGGACTTACTTGGCCTTTCTGCAGTTCCTCACAGCTGGAATCAGTCTCCGTTTTCCCTCCTCTGATGTTTTGTACTTCTCCAGGTCCAACTCATCCAGAACCTCCTCTGACATCTGCAGCATGTCGGCCAGAGCTGAGCAGTGGATATCAGAGAGTTTCTTCTCTGATCTGTTTCCTGACTTCAGGAACTTTGTGATCTCCTGATGTACTGAGTGGTCTTTCATCTCTGTCAGACAGTGGAAGATGTTGATGCTCCTGTCAGGAGAAATTTCATCACTGCTCATCCCCTTTAGGTTGCTGATGGCTCTCTGGATGTCTTTGCGACCCAGCTGGCCTCTGAAGAGTCTCTGGATGAATTTTGGACGGTTGTCTGTGTGACCCAGCTGGCCTCCTAAGAGTCTCTGGTTGGACTCCAGAGAGAGGCCGTGGAGAAAGCGGACAAACAGGTCCAGGTGGCCATTTCTACTTCTGAGGGATTTCTCCATGGCTCCCTTCAGTAAGACATCCAGGGATGGGTAATCCTGATCACTGGTATACCTGTTGCTATAGTCTCCCTGTAGGAAGTCCTTCAGTACCTCTGTGTCTCTGTTGGTGTAACAGTGCAACAAGTAGAATGCAGCCAGAAACTCCTGAATGCTCAGATGAACAAAGCAGTAGACTGTTTTCTGGAAGATCACACTCTCTCTTTTGAAGATCTCTGTACAAACTCCAGAGTGCACCAAGGCCTCGGTGACATCGAGACCACAGCGCTGCAGGTCTTCTTGGTAGAACATGATGTGTCCTTTCTCCAGATGTTCAAACGCCAGCCTCCCCAGCTTCAGAAGAACCTCCCTGTCAGCCTCCGTCAGCTGCTGTGGACTCGTCTCATGTCCCTCTTCATACTTCTGTTTCTTCCTCTTTGTCTGGACCAGCAGGAAGTGTGAGTACATGTCAGTGAGGGTCTTGGGCAGCTCTCCTCTCTGTTCTGTAGTCAACATGTGGTCCAGAACTGCAGCAGTGACCCAGCAGAAGACTGGGATCAGACACATGATGTGGAGGCTCCTGGAGCTCTTGATGTGAGAGATGATTCTTCTGGACAGTTTTTCATCACTCGATCTCCTCCTGAAGTACTCCTCCTTCTGGGCGTCAGTGAAGCCTCGTACTTCTGTTACCCTGTCCACACACTCAGGAGGGATCTGATTGGCTGCTGCAGGTCTGGAAGTTATCCAGACGAGAGCCGAGGGAAGCAGCTTCCCCCTGATGAGGTTTGTCAGCAGCACGTTGACTGAGGACTGCTGTGAGACATCAGACACAACCTTATTTTTTTGGAAATCCAGAGAAAGTCTGCTTTCATCCAGGCCGTCAAAGATGAGCAGCACTTTACAGACAGCCAGCTGCTCTGCTGTGACCGTCTGTAAGGTCGGATGGAAAACATGGAGCAGCCTGAGAAGACTGTACTGCTCATCTTTGATCAGGTTCAGCTCCCTGAAGGAGAGCGGGATCACCAGACTGACATCTTGGTTTTCCAAACCCTCGGCCCAGTCCAGAGTGAACTTCTGCACTGAGAAGGTTTTTCCAACTCCAGCGACTCCGTTGGTCAGGACCGCTCTGATGTGTGTCTTTTGGTCAGGTAAGACTTTAAAGATGTCCTGGCACTTGATTGGAGTGTCATGGAGGGTCTCTTTTTTGAAAGCTGTCTCCAGCTGCCTCACTTCATGTTGGGTATTAACCTCTTCACTCTGACCTTGTGTGATGTAGAGCTCAGTGAAGATGCTGTTGAGGAGGGTTTTACTTTTATCAGTTCCTTCAGTCACACGTTCACATCTCCTCCTCAGACTGAGCCTATGTTCATCTAAAACCTTCTGCAGCCCACTATCTGCTGGAAGAGAAGAACACATGTGAGATAAATGAAAGTTATTAAAAATCACAAAACAATTAACAGGAAGAATTATTTTTCTGAAATGAAGACACCAGCCGAAATATGTTGAGACTTACTTTGTATAATGCTGCATCTTTCTCCACATTGAGGACAGCAGGAGTCTGATGGAGTTGGCTGGTCCCAGTATGAGGTGATGCACTGTCTGCAGAACCAGTGTCCACAGCTGGTAGAGACTGGATCCTTCAGGACGTCCTGACATACAGCACAGCTACACAGATGCTCCTCCACAGGAACAGGACTCTTCCTCTTCTCTCTGTGGAGATGAACACATCCTTTATAGCACTTTACATTAGTGGTGGACGATTTTAACCAATGGTACAATAAGGAGGCAAGTTCTGGTTTTAGTACGGCGATATATGACCCGATTTGAGAAGGATGGGGACACGCCGGATAAAAGCACCACATTTTTTCCATGTGTTCCACATCACCATAGCTCTACATTTTGGCGGGGAGCCACTTCATCAAGATGGCGGATGGCGGCCATCTTGGATTTCCAAGATGAGACGCCATGCAAAAGCTATAAGTGCCAATATCTCGGCTTCCAAGCCACTTTGGTCAATCTTGGTGTCAAAGTATACATTTTCTAGGTCAAGCAATGCATTAAAGCTATTGAGAATATCACTAGATGATTATTTGCACCAAGATCAAATAAATATGGTAATACTCGCAATGTATTCACGTCTTTACCTGGTTCCTAAGCGACTCGACTATAGGTCATATGTACATTAATATAAGTCATATACATGTACATTGATAAATGGACAATATGCATGAATTCAATTTAACTTCATTTGCTTCTTTTTTTAACATAAAGCATTTTTACATCTCGGCTATAATTACATTATCTGTCACATTTACAACTGCAAAGCTCTGTGCATTTCCAGTGTGCCTTCTTGCATAAACACGTTGCACCACAGCCACTTGCACTTTTACAACCACACTTGACGAGTTCAGTGCAGGCTTTCGAAGCCATTGGTAAAGTGCTCCACACATGAAGCCAGACCAGGCTGTCTCTATCCAAAGTACATCCATATCCTTCTGGACTTGGTGTCCGCTGCTGGGCCAGTTCAGATGTTGCCCAGATCCCAGACTGGTAGGCAACTTGCTTCAAGTGCTGCAGCAGGGAATCTTGTGTTGGTGGAATGTGTTCCATCGTTCTGTTCTTCTGGCAGAACATCTCTCTCCGTGCTTCATTTACAGATTCCAAATCAGTTGTCTTGTCGTAAAGGACTACTGTGTAGCGCTCTAGAAGTTGAAAGTGTTCGGCATCTATGGTCACAGGAGTGTGCGGATTTGCTGCCATGTAGTTGAAGGCTTGGGTGACCTCAGGGTAGGAATTCCAAGCATCCCTTGCTGACTTCTTCCCCTCCCTGCAGAAGGCTGAGGTTGTTTCACAGCCGGTGCAACAGTGGAAGACGGGAAGTGCTGTTGACCTGTCTTTGCCCAAAGTATGGCAGATGGTATTGATGAGATGATAAGTGTAGTTTTTGCCGGTGCCAAAAGCGACCCAGATGTCTGCAGCTGGATACTTGGTGAGCAGGGCATGGAACTTGCCGATGAAGATAACGACAACATCCGTATCCACAGTGCGAACCAAGCAAGTAGAAGAGCCATGCTCCAGGGCATCAAGCAGATGAATCATAATCCTGGTGTCAGCCTCTTCATGGTTACATGGCAGCATGAAGTGGCTGGTGTCTGTGCCAACTACTCTGACGCCAGATGTAATGAACCTGCTTGCCAACCGGCCAGTCAGTGGATGCAATTATATTGGAGAGAAAGGTGAAGAGTTCCTGCCAGTTCCTTGGCAGTTTGTTCTTACCAGCAACCTTCCGCTGTATCCCTTTGCCTCGCTTCTCCCTTGTTGACTCTTTTATGCTTCTGGTGATGTAAGTATCCCAGACCACATCAACTCTTTCTTATGTCTTCAAGAGCTTCATGATGTGGGGACCAAAGACACAACTGGCATATTCATCAAATGTGGTAATTTTGGTAGTGGACAGGAAGTGCACAACAGCTGCACCGTCGAGTACTTTCACATCAAAAGTACCTGGAGGTTCCTGTTGTGTCTTCTGTGTCAGAATAATTAGCAGATCTGACTTCTTTCCCAGCCGTATTTTCCCTCTGTCAGATAAAGAGGGAGGGTATGGATGGTTTTCATGCTTAAAGAAGGTGCTCATATCCCCCTCTCTGTGTTGCTTGGCTATATATAATTGGGAAAAGAGTGCCACATCATCCCTTAACATTGAGATCTGCCCTGCCTGCTTGGTCTTGGTCCTGGGTGTTGGGCATCTAAAGAGAGGCAGTGAGTTATTGTTGTACTGATCTCTGCCCACTACGTTCCTTATTCATGATGGTGTTGTTTATTGCCTTTTTCTAAAATATACTCCTGCTCAAACTCTTTCAGGAGTCGTGCTTGTTCAGGCCCTGCGATCATCCACTTTTTGAAGGCTGAGGGATTCTCGGTGAGTCCCACAGCACCCCCAGAACCCTTCACCAGATCATTATTCTGCTCATGAGCCTGGTATATCGGTATGCTTGAGAATCTGTTTGCGGTTTTGGGAACAACCCAATGACCATGTTCTTCAAATTCCTTGTGAATGGAACACACTACTCGGCTATGTGAGTTGTGTCAGTGGCAGTGGGTAGAGATGAAAAGGGAGTCAGAAGTTTTTATCCTTTTTCCACGGCTTATCCGAAGTCAGGTTCTCAGGCCAGCGTGGAGTAAAATCCCTTCACCAGGTCCTGGAACTGTCCCTCGGTCTCCTGCTAGCTGAACACCTCCCTAGGGAGTCGTCAGATGGCTTCCTTACTGCCCGAACCTCCTCAACTGGCTCTTTTCTACGCGAAGGATCAGCTAAGTCACCCTCCTTAACTTCTTACCTTATCCCTAAATCCCCTGACACACCAACCCGATTTTGGGAGTCAGAGGCCGTCAGAGGCAGTCGGGCATTCGCGGCGCCCTACTCAGGTTGGTGTGTCCCGCACCATCGTCTCTTTACGGCAAATGTTCAAACCTCCCGCGGCCGATTCACTTTGTTGAAAGAAGTGGGAATCTCTGCAAACCCAGTACACCCGGTACAAGAAACTTGCACCTTCGGGTAGTTCTGGAGCACCAAAGACCGGCAGACAGCAGTGGATCCTGACCAGGCTGCAGTTTTTGGAGCCCTTCACAAAAACTGCACTGTGAATTTCTTTAAAAATGTTAAAGGACACCTAACATGCTATATTTAAATGATATATTGTAGGGCCATACCTATATAAGGTATATTTATACGTTTCTGTTTTCAAAATACCAAACAGATCATGCATTTTAGCCATGCCTCATTTCGCTCTATGTGCTGTTCTCCAGCCCTGTTTTTGCAGGGGGCTGATTCTGTGAGCTGCAGCTGACTACGCCCCCCTGCAGGAGAGGGGAGCCGCTCTGATCAAGTCACGTCCTCCGGGTTTTATTATAGCCTATTATTATATAGAGTCGTTATTCATTTGTTTTAAAGCTCAATAAATAACAAAGAAGACCTTTGACCGGCACTTTTCTAATTTTGTCCGGAAGATTTAAACTTTAACGGACATCTTGACCGGCGAAAGAAAACCTAACTGAAACTCTGCCGCACGGTCCCCTCGTTCCTTGGAAGAGGCGGAGAGGTGGGTGTTTGTCATCTGCTGGTGGACTAACCGGAGAGAATTACAGTGCTTGCCTCGACGGGGAGGGATTGCATTGAATTAAAGCAGCGGGAGCAAACGCTTGCCTCGGGGAGGGAGAAAGAAAGCCACAGCGGAGAATAAACAGAAGGGTAACCATGGTAACTATGGGCGGGAAGTCTTCTTCGCTGCTTTTGTGGCAGACTACAGCGCCACTAATGGCGCATTTCCACTACACGGCCTCGCTCGGCCTCGCTCGGTATGGCTGGCCTCGTTAGGCCTTGTTAGGACTGGCTCACTTTATGGCGCATTTCCATTACAGTTTAGGAACTGGGGTAGTAACTATAGTAACGCAGTGTAGGCGGAGCCGTGACGTCATCTTCAATGAGAACCCCAGAAAAACAACACAGCCGTTAGCTGTTAGCACTCAAGCTCACAGCTCCTCATATCTGTTCAGAAACTAGACAAAAGTTAAACAAGTACAAACCACAGACTGTCTGTGTCATGGCGAATACAGTCGCTGCTTTATTTATGTCTGTATAGGCCGTTGTTGTGAGTGTGGACGGTCGGAGCATATATTGCGTTAGCTTAGCCAATCTCCATTCAGAAAACACGCATTTTAAAAGGTTTTTCGTCTGCCGTCTGTAATAATAATAATAATGGGTTCCATTTATAAAGCACTTCATATTTGATTTCAAATCCCGAAGTGCTACAAGCAGTGAGCATGAACAGTATAAATAAACATTACACAACACGGTAGAATTAATAAAAAGCAATAAAAATAAAAATAAAAAAACAAAAAAACAATAGAAATAAAATAAAATAAAAGGGTGGTAAAAAGGTCTAGGCAAAGGCTCTTTTGAAGAAATGGGTTTTGAGGCCTTTTATAAAAGCCTCCACGGTCTGTGGTGCGGAGCTTAGTCCTGGGGGGTTTGAGGAAGTTGGAGTTGCTGGAGCGGGTGGTCCGCAAGGAGGTATGGGGGGTGAGGAGGTCCTTGAGGTAGGGAGGGGCAGTTCCATGGACACACTGGTGGGTGAGGACGGAGACCTTGAATTCGATCCTCAGTTCCACGGGGAGCCAGTGTAGTGCTTTAAGGATGGGGGTGATGTGATCGTATTTGCGCACCCTCATCAGGATCCTAGCAGCGCTGTTCTGAATGTATTGGAGCTTCTGGATGCTTTTGTTAGGGATCCCGATGAGGAGTGCATTGCAGTAGTCCAGCCTGGAGGAGACAAAGGCGTGGACCAGCTTTTCGGCGTCAGACAGAGTGAGTGTGGGGCGGAGTTTGGCGATGTTCCTGAGGTGATAAAAGGAGTTCTTGCACAGCTGTTTAATGTGGGCCTCAAAGGTCAGATGGGCGTCCATTTTAACACCCAGGTTGGTGACTATTGAGGAGAGGGTAATGTCTTGGCCGGATAAGGTGATGGTGGTGATGGTGGATGACCGAACCTGGTGTGGGGTGCCAACTATAATGGCTTCGGTCTTGGAGCTGTTGAGTTTCAGGAAGTTTTGCTTCATCCACGCCTGTATCTCCTCCAGGCAGGCAGTGAGTGTGGGTGAAGGCAGGGCTGCAGAGGAGGTAGGGTTGATCCTGAGGTACAGTTGGGTGTCAT